AAACTAGGTAAAAAGATAGCATCTGAAAAAACTCAGCTTTCCTATCTTCCAATAAAGTCTTCCACAACTCTGTAAGTAAAGGATGAAAATTGAGTCAGCTGGATGGTAACCATTTTAGTTTTTCCATGCAGTGGAAGATGGATTTAATTTAACAAAGTGTTGAATGATAAGCTTTAAAACCCACCTTACACTAAAAAGTGAAGGTTAACAGAATTCTGCAATGAGTCTAGTTTAACACCGGATTTATCACATATGGGGGCACTGTTGACACCTTGGCATCACATTTAGTCTTACTGGGTAGATTTATATTAGTGAGAAAGATAAGTTTTGGTAATTGATATATTTTAACCCCAACCATTATCATCTTCTTTACCTAATTAACTAGTGTTGGTGATTTAAAAAAGATATATTAAATTTAAAAAAAAAAGCAAAACCAAACAACTTTGCATCGTTTATAGCTTGTACAATAGATAGGCGTGTGTGTCCACATATACTAGTTTTCTTGTAATGTAAACACAATGCCACTGAAAAGTATTTGGCCCTTTCATGATTTTTTTGTATTTATTTTTGTTTTAGCTCCTTGCATATTTGTCACAATTACATGATTCAGATAATCTGATTTTTATATCAAACAAGATAACTTAAGTAAATACAAAGTGCAGCTTTGAAATTGTGATTTTATTCATCAAAGGGAAAAAGCTCTCCAAACCTAACAGGCTCTGTTAACTAATAACTTCATCCACCCTTGGCAGCAAGAACTGCAATCAAGCATTTGCAATAACTGACAATGAGTCTTTCCAGTGCTGTGGATGAAATTTGGCTTACTTTTCAAAATTGTTTTAAATTAGCCACATTGGAGGGTTTTGAGCATGAGCGGTCTAAGGTCAGGCCAAATTAGAATCAGAATCAGAAACTTTATTGTCATTGTCATGAGAACAACGAAATTAAGAATGGTCCCCGATCATTGCATCATCCCTAGCAATATCAAAATATAAATAAAACAATAAAATTCAATAAATAAAATAGATAGAATACTTAAAATACTAATAAGATATAACAGTAAAACATTCACATACATTCCCACACACATGCTTCAGACCGTGCATAGATTAACACAAGAGTGGCGTGATGGACATTTTTTTGTAGTATTCAGATGTGTTATTGCAGTTGGATAACAGCTGTGTTTGAGTCTATTAGTCCTTGCTCTGATTGCCCTGTACCGTCTGCCTGAGGGCAACAGTTCGAACAGGGAGTGGCCAGGATGTGAGGTGTCTTTTATGATGTTTTGGGCCTTTTTAAAACAGTGGGCGTTGTGTAGAACTTCCAGTGTGGGGAGAGGGCAGCCAGTGATCTTTTGGGCGGTGTTAATGATCCCTTGGAGTGCTTTCCTCTGAGCCCCTGTGCAGCTAGTGTACCAGATGCATATGCAGTAAGTTAGAACACTCTCAATGGTGGCTCTGTAGAAGGACACCAGCAGTCTCTGTGTGATGTTATTCCTCCTGAGAATTCTCAGGAAGTACAGTCTCTGTTGGGCCTTTTTCAGCAGCTCGGAGGTGTTCACACTCCAGGAAAGGTTCTCCTCTATATTGACTCCCAGGAAGCGGAAGCTTGCCACCCTTTCTACACAGTCCCCATTTATGAATAGTGGTTGGATCTCTGCCTTTTTCCTTCTGAAGTCTATTATGAGTTCTTTGGTTTTTGAAGTGTTGAGGAGGAGGTTATTGGCCTTACACCATGACGTCAGCTGCTCCACCTCGTCTCTGTACGTAGACTCGTCTCCCTTGGAAATGAGCCCCACCACTGTGGTGTCATACTTTCCACATTGTAGATACATACTGAATGCATTAAATATATGAAGCAAGATATATGGAATTATGTGGCAAAGAAAAAAATGATAAATAACTCTAAATATGTTTCATATTTTGTCTCATTTGAGGACCGCCCCAAGAAAGGAAGAGCTAGGGTCACCAACCTCAGAAATTCCAAGTTAACAACACCTCAGATTAGAGCCCAGATAAATGCCACACAGACTTCCAGTAGCAGATACATCTCTACATCGACTGTTCAGAGGAGACTGTGTGAATCAGGCCTTTATGGTCAAATAGCTGCTAAGAAACCACTAAGGAAAAGGAACAAGCAGAAGAAATTTGTTTGGGCCAAGAAACACAAGGAATGAAGTGCTGCACCAGATGGCCTGGCGTCCACAGTCACCTAACCTAAACCAAATTGAGATGGTTTGGGATGAGATGGACCGAAGAGTGAGGGCCAAAGGGGCCAACAAGTGCTCAGCATCTCTGGGAACTCCTTCAAAACTGTTGGAAAACCATTTCAGGCGACTACTCACTTGAAGCTCATTGAGAGAGAATGCCAAGAGTGTGCAAAGCAGTAATCAGGGTGACTATTCTAAAGAATCTAAAATATAAAACGTTATAAAAGTTATTTCACTCTTTTTTTATTTACTACATAATTCCCTATGTTTTCATTTGTAATTTTGATGCCTTTAGTGAGAATCTACAATGTAAATAGTCATGAAAATAAAGAAAAAACAAACTTTTGACTGGTAGTGTATACAATACAAAACAAACCCATATACTTCACGCTACAGATGTGTGTTTGCACGCAAACATGGTGACATCTTACTGGCTGTTGAATTACTGTAGCATTGACTCACATTTGATTATTTGCTTGCATATTATATTTGAATGTCTTGCTTACATGGCTCCTTGTTTCTATTATTCAGATCTCTTTCCTAAGTCATAGCTAAACCTAGCTGGAATCCATGAAACAGATGCAAAAAAAAGATATAAAACAATCATTTTTTTTCTTTTGCCAACAGCTGACGAATCCTTTGAGAGTTTCAGTATCAGTGTTGAAGCACCAAAATCCTGTGTGTGAAAAACCTAATATCCCTTGTGGACACCATCTGAATTAGTTCAGTACTCCTACTCTAGGTGGAACACTGTTGTAACAGTAATGGATCACTGGCTGCATCTGCACTGATGATGAAATGCCAAGGCCCATTTCAGTAAAGGCTTACTTCACCTGACCAATTTTTTTTTTTTTTAAAGATTTTTGTGACACAAAAAACATTTCCCATCCCTTGAAACACAAATGCATCTATCTACATTCTGTGTATTTTCTCTTATTTGCATATTTGATCATTTTTCATTCCAAGTTGATGTTTTGATGTCTTCTTTGTCACTGTTTGTTACCCTGATTATGTAGTGAGATATTATTATAAGTCCCTCTGGATTTCTGTTTCTTTTGCGTGTTTGTGCTGCATTCTTTTATTTATGTGTTTTATCATCTGTATCAACAAAAGGTAAATCTTGACAGAAATCTTTGTATATTAAAGAATTGCAGCAAACACATGTCACAACTGGTTTTTGACACTCATTTATGGTTTTCAGTTCTGGTATCAGCACATGGTGCAATGTGAAAGTCAAGTTTTTGACATCCCTCAAATAGAGCCAATTTTGTTCTCTGCAATGGCAACACATGCTCGAGTAGTACCACAGCTCATTTGCATATTAATTTGAAGACAGATGCTACGCGGTCTTTCTGCTGTGTGAACAGACCTTAGAACAGGTCTGCGCCCATGCCAGTCCAACTGGAATTGTGTTTACTTGACTCTATCCTTACAAACAAAACACCGATTTCTTTATTTGGAAGAATTAGGTGTTCTCCATGTTGAATTTCTAAACACCATTAATTTGTCTGACTCAATTAACTTTTTTTTTTTTAACTTAAATACATGAATAGGCTGGGGTTTGGGGTGTGGATAAATACCCTGGCTTATTTTGCCTTTGTGAGTCTGTAATCTAGCGGAACTTCTTATGCTGTAGATGTGCACACAGACACCAAACAATTCTGATATAAGTGCTATAATCAGGTTTAAAATTATAGGACTCTATCTTGTGTTCATTTAAATGCAATATTAATCTTCATTTTCAGGCTGCATAGTGGAAAACATCACTCTGATTAGACACAAAAGTCTATGTGGACTGTTGCTGCATTCATTAAAAAAAGGTTCAAGGATATTTACCAATGGAGGAAGAAGTAGATAATTTACTTTAGTAAAAAGAAAAAGCTGTCAAATAGGCCAAATATGAATTACTGTGGAACTTGTCAGTTTTAGTTTTCAAGGTGTGCTCTTACACTAATTCCAAAATTCCTCTGGATATTTGGATATTTCTGAATAAACCTGTAACCAATTAGAGCAATGAAACGCGTAAAATAAGAATAAATAAATAAATAAAATGAAAATGTAAATGGACTATAGCATGCAGGGATGTAATTGTATCAAGCCCAACACACATTAGATAAATGGTTTTGATTGGCCCAGCATGGTGAAGGCCTAGTGCAAATCTGTGTGAACGGGAGGGGGCCAGATGTATTCTGCCAGAACAAATTAAACATGAGTGTTCAGATTTGTTTGGTTCCAGGCTAAAATGCACCATATAAAAGTACTCCAACACAAGGAAGCATCCTGCAAAATGCACTTGTGGGAAGCAAAAATGCAGAAAAAATGCAAACTTTAAAGAATCTGTATTATTGTTTTTTTTTGTTAATCCCTTCCTTTGGTGTATTTTCATGATTATTATTTCTTTATTGATGTACTTGAACAAGACCAGCATTGTGGGGGGGGGTGGAACTGGGAGTTTAAAGAGACAGAGGCTACTGTGGGTATAGTTGCACTGGAACATATATGATAAATATTTTGGTTTTTAAGGATTAAATGTTTCAGATTTTTTCGACTCTGACAATACATTATTAACCTGTACATTGCATAATATGGACACTATTAATTAGTTAACACTGATAAAACGAATAACTTGATTGCATTTTTTGGTTTAGTAAGGGATGAGCACATTTTAAATATACAGAAATATGGTAACTAAGAGAATATATGTTATTTTCCATCAGTGTTATTTACTGATTTAACTGCAATACTGATGCAAAGAAATGAAAATACTCACACTTTCTTTAATTTTCCTCAGAACTTATTACATTAGCATCTGACTGTGCTACATCATGCTGTGGATGAAGTGGAAGATGGTGGTGGACTCCCTGCGTGGACGGAGAAGGAGACTGCCCTGTTCCCTCTGGTTTCTCCTGCTGTTTGCTGCTGGAGGTCTGGTTCTCTTCATCCACCAGCAGGCTCTGTCAGAGATGGTCCAGCAACAAGGCCCAGGTTAGTCTGTAGTTTCCCTAAAACAGATTTGGTTAGTTTGAATCCCCTTACATCGGGCATAAAAGTAACACAATATTTCATACAAAGAACATGATATCAACTCAAACATGGTTGTAGTAGTGTGATGATGTGAGGCTGCTTTTCAGCTTCAGAAACTGAAGCCAGCTTTAGGCAGTCCTTGCCAAAGTGACTGAAAATACTCCATCCAGATAAGCAGAATTGACTTCTGGATTAAGCTGGGAGAACTCACAATAATGCAGATATACACACCATGCAATCAAACTGGGAGACAGAGGCACATTCCAAATCAGAAAGTAGATTGCATGTATGAGCTGTTATATTATTTGCTTTGGTTTCACTAAGGAGCAGGAAAAAAAAGATGGAGAGAGAAGCAGAAAAAACATTTGTTCCCCAAATAATACCTTTTTCATTCCATCTCATAGAACAAATGGTCAGTTTTCAATCCTCCTCAAGAACAAGGCTCTATATTCAATTTCTAAATGAGTTAAACCTTTATCCTTGCAAAGTGACCCAGTGCCATTGTGCTTGGCACTCAGCGTTAAGAAGATTGGGGTATAAGCAGCCACGATGGAAGAGTGTCCTAATCGTGTACAACCAAGCTGCTTCATGTTTCAGAAACAAGAGATCAGCTGCATACATATGCACAGCTATGGCTTATGCTACAGTTTCAACCAAATGAGAGTGTCAGTCACATTTTTCTACTGCTGTTGGAAAAATCTATGAATTTCATTTTAACTTTGGTATTTTTATTCAGAGACTAAAGGGTGATGTTTCACCTTATTTTGATTTCACAAAATCACTACTTTAAGAACCATGCTCCAGTTGAAATCAAAAGACATATATTTTTTTTAATTACCAAAGTCATTTGTGACATGTTCACAGATTTTTGATCGAAGAAAATGATGAACCAGTCAAGGGAGCTTTTTGGAGATACAATCAACATCACCATCAGAGAGCGTCAGAGTCAGAGAAACTGTAATCCACTAAGTAGGCTATCTGCACTATCATGTGTCAACAGCACTGTGAATCATTATGAATATGAGTGGTGTCACACTCCACAGCAATAAGAGCCACTTAGCCAGAGTGGAATCTCTCCAACCCTCTAATATTCCCCTGATTGTCAGATGCTTTCAGGCACGGTGTCAGGTGGAAAAAACGGGCATTTGCAATGACAAGCAGGACACACACGGAAGCACACATGCAAGACAAACATTCACATTATGTAGAAACACAAAAACTATGACAGCCAGTATTCAACATTCATGAGAAATATCTAACCAAGACCCATAAGAGCTTGTAATGATTACAAGAACCAGATGCTTTGTGAAATCTGGTATGAAACTGTGTTGGAGGTGGACCATTACTTTAAAGGAACAATATTTTTCAACAAAAGCACAACACAGTTTGAGGAGGATTTTTTTTTCTAAACTAACAAAAAAACAAAAACGTCCATACTATGCAATGTATACTCTTTATATAAAACTATATATGAATTTTAGTAATATTATTATATTATTATTTCTAATGTGTCATTTTATTTTAGCCATGTTGCCAATCTGAGACATGATTTCATTCTTTCCTTTAAATTAGTACCCTGGACAGGTTATCACTCTATTGCAGGGCTAACACAGGCAGACGGATCACCATTTAGACTCACGTTCACACCTATGGCCGATTTAGAATTGCCAGTTTACCTAACACTTGCATGTCTCTGGACTGTGGAAGAAAGTTAGAGTAATCAAAGTGATTCCACGTGGATACCATGAAACATGTAATTTGAAACCAGGACCTTTTGCTGTGAGACAAAGCTGCTAACTGCTTGTGAGGTAGCATAACATAAGCAGCATGGAAAGTGATAGGAAGACAGCATCTGCAGACTGTTCGGGTTTCTTTTAAGTGTTCTTTAGTTTCTGGCATGGCCTTTCAACAACTGTTTCATAAAACATAAGAACCTGGTAGTCAAAATCTCACCTGCTTTATATAGAATTCCACTCACACCTTGACCTCATTAACCTCTACCATTGGGAAAACAGGGTAGACTAAATAACACAGTCTAGACAAAGAAACCAGAATAAAATAATTTTGCCACTTAATAAAACTCATTCACCCAGCTAAACGGTTTGAAAAGTCAATCTCTTCACTTAATCTGACTCATGAGGTTATTTTAAATTAAATAAACAATTTTACACAAAAGAGACACCTTCATTTGGTTACACCCAATTGACATGATCAATGACATCATATCCAAAAAAACCAGGAAGTACTGGGGCGGCCCTTCCCATATACCTGTTTTACACATAGGACCTGCTCAAAGGAACACACATTGGTAAGTATAACCAAACTACATAAACAAATGAAAGATTCAAATCAATTAATGATGAAGTGACATTTAGCTTTAAGAACATTTGCACAGATGAAATGAATATACCCAATGCTACCACAAACAGACCCGGGATAGTGTGTAGCGCCAAGGTTACATATGCTGTGTTTACATTAAAGCATTATGATAGACTATACGATAACAGAACACAAAATAACAATATATGCAAGTGACAAATGAATTCAGTCCTAGCCACTTTGTCACACTGCTCCAAAGTTTAAATGTTTTAAATTGTAGATATTTAGAGTTACTGTTAATTTTGATAAACTTGAGTAAAATAACTATTCATTTGAAATTTTAGAAGAATTTTGAAACTAATTATTCATAGATTTTGTATAACGACATAAAGAAATGGAATGACATGTAGAATACACCAAAACGGAAAAAGGCAATTCTAGATAGCTATACGGTAGAATAAAAAAATTATTCTTAAGAAATAGAACATCTAAGCAATACTAAGTACTGACTTTAGAAATTTAGATATGCAGCAATTTTGCCATTGCCTTATGAATTTGGAGGTCACACAGCAAAAACAATTTCCTCAGTCTGACGTAGTTGGGCAGCAACTAATTCAAACTAGGCTAAGGAAAAAGGTTGCAACTTCACAGTTACACCTATCAAATGTCAGTGCATATGTTTTTAAACTGATGATTATGTACTGGAGAACAAAAGTGTCGTTTTGGGAGCTATGATTAAATAAAGAGGTGAAGTACTGGTGTGGTGCAGTACAGGTGGGTGGGGGTAACATATTAAAGCTAAGAAGTCACTAATAACCAAGGAAGGTATTCCAGCGTCCTTCTATGCCAGAATGATTAAATACATAATGGCTAATATGTATGTACGTGTAAATGTGTTGTAATGTCTGTTTAAATGCTTTCCCGTGATTATTTTCATGTTGGCTTGAAATAAAATATCTCCCTCTGCTGGTACTGCAGCTTACTGCAACTTCTGCCTGCATAACCATTTCAAACTTCGGAGAGGCAAAGCTAGAAGTAGGCATGGTGGAGTGGCGTTTCTATTACATGCTCTGCCATGATACTGGGTTGCTCTATATGTAAAATGGAATATAGTAAAGATGAGGTACTCTAAAGTTAGAAGACACAAACAAGGCTGAGCTCCACATCCGCACACAGTACTATGACATTACTACAAATGAAGTAAAAGGCTCCCAACATGAACAATTAAAGAAGGTGGAGGCTACGAGCTTCCTCAAGTGAGTCAAAGCTAATAGGTGGCAGCAGCATGTCCTTAATGAGTTCTCTCTTTTGATTAGTAGCCATCTTTTCAAACCAGTAGTGTATGTCTTATGATTCGTTTTGCAGCCTAAGCACATCCTTTTATCTCTTCTACTGTATCACTACTTGGAATTGAAGTAAGAATTTCACTTTACTAAATCATGCATGAGAGACTGTGTGCTGTATACAGAACACAGTGGCTACACAGTGTTCCCAGCCCCCTCGCTAAAGCACAATAAGCAAGCAGTATCTTTGCCTTAAGCTATGGTGCTTCAACCGAGCAGAAGCTCATATCTAATAGAGCAGAGTTATAATACATTGGGTGTCAGCTTTTATCTGCCACCCCCTCCTTCTCCACCTCTTTATTTGGCTTATTTGTACTTAGGAGCTTTGTATCCCATGGTTTAGATGGCCTGCACAATGGTAGCTGAGAAAACTGCTCTTTAAATGGCCACAGTCATCTCCTGAACACTCTGAAGTAATTGTTTAAGGACAATTGGAGGAACAGCAGCCAGTTTTACAGGGAGAACAGACACCTGAAGAGGTTGCAGTTCAGATAAATTGTCTGCACAAAGTTACACCTCTAGGCATTTTTCCAATGAGTCTGACTCCAGCTGCTTCAGGGAGTGGAAGGTTGCCCTATGTTTCACCTCGAGAACCCCAACACAGAGCAATCCACAGATGGAGAAGTAGAGCATCAGCTGCTGCTTGGTTGCTTGTGTATTTATTGGTAAGCAAGTGGCTAAATCTCAGTTTAATTGATAGTAACATGCTATATGCTAATGTTTTGTTTGTTTTTTTATTTAAAAAAAACTTAAAACACTTAAAATCTGCAACTAAAAGATTGCTTTTATGACTCTTTTTCTGAGAGGAAGATTTTAAGGGTCCATTTCTGAACTTAACTGAGTAATGACCATTTACTGGGTGGCTTGGATGGATGCTAAAAACATCTTTTAGTAGAGAAGATATCATCACTACCTTTGATCTTGTTTCATAGTGACTGGCTGATGTTTACTGTAACGGTGGAGTGGGGTGCTGGTAAAGGCCAAGGTCTGAAAATGTCAGTCTCTACCAACTGCCTTTCCATGAATACAACATATAAATATTGTCATAAATATTAGGCAGCATGCACACAATACAAATGCATGCAGTTTGAAAAAAACAGAAAGGTAATACATAAAATGTGAGAACATCTTCAGATGGGAATAGTTTTTTATAATCATGTAAAGTGTATTTTGAAACACTACGACTTTCTACAGTAAATAAAAGCAAGGAAAAAATTAATTTGCCTTGGCCATCCCTCTATGTTTATCCACATGGACCTTGCCAGGAACTGGGCATATTGTTTCACGCTTCAAGGAAAA